AAAGAAAAAACCTTGCATGAATTTTTTTTCTTAATGATTTTTTTAAAAAAAAATTATTTCATTATATTAGCATGTATTTATATATAAATAGTGGTTGTATTTATTTAATATTTAATTGTAAATATTTTTTATTTTGTTATCGTAATGTGTTGCCTAAAAAATATTTTTAAAAAAAATAAACAAAATCAGTAGTTCAAAAATAGTTCTTGTTTATAGCACAATTGTTGTTTTTATAATCATTTAATTTAATAATTGTAAATATTTTTTATTTAGTTAGTTTAGGTATTGATAAAAAATAATTTGTAGATATTTAAAATCAATTATTTTCAAAGTTATTAACTATTGAAATAAAATGTAAAAAATTCAATTTATAGTGATTTTAAAATATGACATATATTGAATCATAAACTAACAAAAATTGAATAAAATCTGTTTTAAACCCTAATAAATGTGATGGGGGGAATGCATATTAGTAAAAAAAATTTCAAATTGTACGAAAAATTAAAAAATTCACAGTTTCCATTACCGCAACTGTTACACTACGGCCTTTAGACTCCGCAATCGTAACCATGTCACCACAACCGTTATGGTGACCGCAACCGCTTTTTGAAACATTGACCACCACCTTCTCTCTTTTCGACAATTGTTGCTACCACCATTTTTGCCAGCCATCTTTGATCCCTTCCATATCTCTAGTCACATGCTCCTAACCTTTCTCCATTTCCTACACACGGTGCCGCTCTTTGATTTAGGGGGCTTAAAGCGAATTTCGGAAATAAGGATCTCTCTTACATTGAAAAAAAAAAAAAATATGAATAAAACGATAAGTTACAACTTTTTTATTTGTTTGTAACAACAAAAAAATATACTTGCACATATAATCATTAAAATTATAAACAAAACAATTTAATGAAACAAAATTAGGGCAAAAAAATTAGGAAAAAATTATTCAACTAAAATTGATAAAGACCTAGGTAAAAAAATTGGGGCAAAATTATTTATTCCACTAAAATCTAATAGATAAAGAAGGTAAAAAAAAAATTAGGAAACATATATTGTATGTATTATTCTTCTTGAGCTCAAACACTTTTTCTTAATATATATTTTCATTTTAATAAATATGGGCCAAACTACACTTTTAAATAAATACGGGTTAAACTATATATGGACCCAATAAAATATTTTGAGGCCTTTTAAATAGATCTTTAAAAAAAAAAAAAATTAGACCTATAACATTTTACTAAATTTGAGGACCTTATTTTTAAGTCAAAATTTTGAGACCTAAGGCACAGGTCTTACTGGCCTTAAGCTAAGGCCGGCCTGCCTACACATACTTGCTCTCGCAATTCTCCGCCATCATAGTCTCCTACCCCATTATCCTCTCCACCATCATGATCCCCCCTACTACCTCAACCTCTTTCTTTATGTCCTACCTTTGCAATCTCTCTATCCCTATTCGTTATAATTTCTCTCTATCTCTCTTTGTTGCGGTTTGTAGAAGTGGAAATGAAAAATTTGATGTAAAGGTGCTAGGGAGAGGGGTTGCAATGAGGGAAGAAAAGGTGGGTGTTCAACAAAATTCAAATTTTGATTTGAAGTGTCCTAGGAAATGGGGTGCCTAACAATTTGTGTGGAGTGCATTTGGAGCCTCTTATATTTTAATGGACATGAAGTTGTTTTTATATATTTTCTGGGTCGTAATTCATAAAACATTGCTGGTTTTATAGTTATATTATAAATATTCAATTTTATAAGTACTTGCCAATCGCATGATAGGTCAGAAACACTCACTTACTTCAATCAAATTACTTTCATTTTATGAATGAAAAATATCCAACTTTCATCTTTATCAGTATTCGAACTTATTAGTTAACAAAATTATCTATAGTTTTCGATCTTATTCTGTACTATATAAAATTGAAGTTAAAATTACATACATTAAGTTTTAGTCCTACTTTGAAAAAAATTTATTTGAATTATTTTTTTTTCCAAATTTTAATTTATTGTTAATTTCTCTCTCTCTCTCTCTCTCTCTCTCTCTCTCATTTTTTAAATAGAAATTATAAAAAATAAACTCATGATTTGATCCTTCTAACAAAATAAATTTTTAATTTAATCAATTTAAATTCTAATTTTTTTTTATTTTCAATTTAAACCATCTGCTTATTCTCGTTAAATAAAATTGATCCCCCAAAAAATAATATTTAGTCATTAAATACATTGAGTTTAATGACTAAAATAAGTTTTTTTGATCGGTTTTATTTAATGAAAACACACTGACGGTTTAAATTGAAAATAAAAAAAAAATTAGAGTTTAAATTGATAAATTTAAAATTAAAATTTTATTTTGTTACAATGATCAAACTTTGAAATATATATTTTTTTAAATATATTTTTCCCTATTTTTAATCTCTCTCTCTCATTTATTTTTAATGTCTCCAATTAAATATGTTAGAGTATATATTGACAAATCTGAATTTTCATACAAAATGATTTAACTTATTATGATTATTTCATTTTTAATCTAAATTCATACTATCGTCTCGTAATTTAAAAAATGATAAATTACATTAGGTGTGTAAATTTGGCCCAGCCCATCTGGGTCAGAGCTCGGGCTAGCCCATGTCAAGCCGTTTGAGCTCTCGCCAAAATTCGGGTTGGGTCGGGTCGGATTGGGCCAAGGGCCAAAAAAGTAGGCTAAGGCCCAGGAAGTATTCGGGCTTTAGGCAAAACAAGTTGATGGCTTGGGCCTGGGTCCGGCCTAGGTGGGCCTGAACATTTTTTTTTTAAATATTTTTTTCATCAAATTCTTTATTTTTTTCCACTAAAAATGACACTAGGCCATGGGCGGGCCCAGCCTTGGACTGGGCTTTGAGTGGGCCTTGAGCAGGCTGGTGGGCCGGACCGAGTTTCATAATGACGACTTAGGCCCAAGTCTAGAGCCCCGGACTGGGTTCAGGCTGCGGGCCCACCTCAAGCCCCGGACCATTTTTACAATCCTAAATTACACTAATCTTTCTTGAAATTTAAAGAAAATATAACAAATTCCAAAATTTTTAAATGAGTAATGTTAGAAATCTCAAAAATTCTATCAAGTTTATACGAAATATTTCACATGGGTATGAGACCCACACAATGTAGGTCCCATGTATGTCTCACAACTATGTGAGACATTTGGTAAAATTTTTAATAAAATTTTTAAGATTTCTAGCATTTTTGTTTTAATATAATTACATCCATTTTCTCTAGTAGTGTTAAAGGAATCGAAATTAATGCATACAATGTAAATGCACAAAGGACAAACAAGTTAAAGTATATATTTAAAATGTAAAAGAATAGATAAATTATAAACACACCCTTTGAGATTTACTTAAATTACAAATTATTTCTTGTGATTCTAGAAATTACATTATGGTTCCTAAGTTTCTAATTTCATAACAAATAGGGCCTTTTATTAATAAATTATGAAGTTAATTAAAAGTTTTTAATAATGTTAAAATTTTATTTCAATTAATAATTCAGATAATTTTATTATTGTGTAGGTGAACAGTTAAAAATTTTACTTTTTTAATTGATTTGTCAAATAAAAAATTCTGATAAAGAGGTATTTATAATTTTCAAATCACAGAGGACAATTCGTATTTTAAGTAAATCTCAAAAGGTGTATTAGTAATTTACCCTAAAAGAAATGATAACGTTATTTTTCTATTTATATGACTAACGAATTTCAAATAAAAATAGGATTAGGTATTACCTGTAATTATACTAAGGCTTTATTTGGCATGTGTTAAAATAGTACATAGCATTTTAATATATTATTTTATTTGGATCACAGTTATCTTATTTGAGTTATATTATCTCTCTATCACATCACTTCAACTCTAACCCACATTTCATATTTTTTCGTAAAAATTCAAAAAATATACTAATCTTATACTTCCCAAATAATCCCTAAGAGCTTGTTTGGGGTATATTAAAATAGTACATTTTTTAATTTTTTTTTTGGTCACATTACATTTATACTTTTATACATATATTTTTATAAAAAATTAAAAAGTACATTTATTTAAATCATTCTAAATAATTGATAAATTTATTATACTTTCTCTAGATATCAAGAAAAACTAACATAATTTATTCATGGGTAAATTACAAATACACTCCCTGAGATTTACTTAAATTATAAATTACCTCCTGTGATTCTAAAAATTATATTATGTCCCCTGAAGTTTCTAATTTCATAACAAATATGTCATTTTATTAATAAATTATCAAGTTAATCAACAGTTGTTAATAATGTTAAAAGTTTTTTCAATTAATAATTCATATAATTTTATTATTATATAGGTGAACAGTTAGAAATTTCACTTTTTCAATTAATTGTGTTAAATAAAAAATTCTAATAAGGAGGTATTTGTAATTTTTCAAATCACAGGAGACAATTCGTATTTTAAGCAAACATCAAGGATATATTTATAATTTACTCTTTATTCATTAAAAAATTGAAAATGTTTGAGGGTCACAATTTTTGTGGCCACAATGGCTCTCTAACATTGTTGTTAAAAAATATCATTAACGCGTCATTTCCAACCTGTTTTTTTTATTTTATTTATTTTTTGTAAAACTTTTGTTTCTTTTTTTTTTTTTTTTTTGCTGCAATATAAAACTTTTGTTTCTAAATCATTTTCAAATGTTAAATATCTTAATTCACCAAAACATGTTATAAAATTCCTTTTAGAAATTAGATATTAGATATTAGATATTAGATATTAAAATTAAAATGCCAACCCTAAAATTCTTATATCAGGCATGAATCAAATGAAAAGAAGAAGAAGAAGAAGACACCAGAGGGGCAGTACCGTCAATTCACAAACTGAGAAGAACCTGACAATCCTAGTACCCACGTGGTTCTACTGTTCCTCCTTTCCCCAAAACTCCTTAAACCTCACATCACTACAAAATTATATATAAATCTCAGAGCTTCTTCTTCTTCTTCTTCTTCTTCTTCTCTCTCTCTCTCTCTCTTCTCTCTCTCTCTCTATCACACACGCGCACACACACAGAGTCAGCCTTCGTCACTCTCTCTCTATATATAGATACATTGTGTGTATAGGTATGTCGCAAAATATACTGGTGACAGGGGGTGCGGGATACATAGGAAGCCACACGGTTCTTCAATTGTTGTTGGGAGGTTACAAGACTGTTGTGATCGACAGTCTCGACAATTCCTCCAATATCGCTATCAACCGCGTCAAAGAACTCGCTGGCGAATTTGGGTCTCACCTTTCGTTCCATAAGGTTCGTTCCCCTAGTTGATTTTTATCTCAATTCTCAACCTATATTTGTCTGTTTACTCTTCTCATTTTAAAAAAATTGGCCTTTTTTAGTCTTCAGTTGTTTCCAGATGATTAGGTGTTTGATGAATTGTCTCATTGGAGTGTTTCATGTTTTTCGTATTGATTTTTAAGAGTTTAGATTGTGGGTATTCAATTGCTTATATGTAGCTGTTTGATGATTTGTCTCATTGTGTGTTTTATATTTTCTGTATTAATTTTTAGGGAAATTCTAACATACACAGGGTGCACCATGAACGCCTAGTTATGCTTTTTTTTTCTTTAGTTATAAGGTATATATATTTTTTTGTCATAACTTAGAAATTATGTTGTTTTCTTTTTTATTATAAGGTGCATATGGTACACAGCTTTTAAAGGGTGTTTACCATAGCGTGTCCCTAATTTTTAACTGTTTGAGATTGTGGGTCTTCAATTGGTTATGTGTTTGTTGTGGGTTTGTTTACGTTTGATTGAGTGTCTTGATTTACAGTAGTTGATCAAAATATAAGTGGTTAATTTTATACCAAAAAGAGAAAAAGAAAAGGAAAAAATAGAAGAGATACTACCAACAAAATATTTAACCTAATTAGATAAATATCTCACAACTCAAGATGCTAGATGAAACTAATAGCTAAAATAAGTGAGTTGGACAAGAAAATAGAAAAATAAAGCAAATCTATCACCCAAGTAGCTCTGCATCAACAAAACCATCAAAGCCACTGCCATCCGCAGTGGCTTTGTGTTTACACTCATCCGTATAAGGTAAAATGCTGCCCCAAAGAGTAGCAAAATGCAATCCTTAATAAGAACCTCTCCTGAAAGGTCTCATCCTAAATATTGGCCACAGTCAGAATGAACATCTCAAAATGGAGGAAAGTGAAACGACCTTGAAACATTTGACACCAATACACCAAAACTGGCCACAGTCTAACACTCACTCTAATTAAAAGAAGATGAAAAGACCCTGAAATATTCAACACTCATCAAGAAAAGAAGACGCAAAGGGGGGACCACACCCCCACCCGATAGCCATGGAAACCTGACACCAGCACAACTAGAGTCCAGACCACCTCACAATATGGCACCACATCAAACCAGAGCTCTGACTACATTGCCAAATACAACCCTAGGATTTGGGAAAAAGAGGTAGAAAAAAGGTAGTGGAAATCGAACCAAGGACGAATGGAGACAAGAAGCTACACCTTAAGGATAGACGAAACACAGAGCAAAACCCAAAAGGGGACGAGTCGGTGGACCAGGAAACCACCGTCAGATTTGGCATAGAATGGCCACAAAACATGGTTGACAGGGGAGACAGAGGGGAACGAGAAAAGAGGAGGGGGGAGGGGAAAGAAGAGAAAGGTGGGGAAAAGAACTCCCACAGGGAGTAGGGAAACCATCGGGGTTGGCGATGTTCACTCTCCCCTGTGGTGCTGGATCCAGGGATTTTTCTATGGAAAGACATGAGTGCAGAGTTAGATCTATGAATCGATCAAATCAAAGAGAAATAGATGTAGGTGTTGATTTTTGATGTTTTGTTTCTTGTTTAGTGTATGGATACTGATCACTTGTTTCTTTGTTAAAGTCGATCAATTTATATCAATATACATAACTGGGTTTGGAAAAGTTTTTATGCCTATGCGAGATTCTTTTTTAGATGTGTTGATTCATGGTTATGTGAAGGAAACAAGCCATAAATATAAGCTTTTATTCACATAGACGTAGAAAAAAATACTTTCTTGATGGTGAAATTCTATCAATATAAAAATAGGGAGTGAAAATAGAATTAGTCTTATTAACTCTGGCATTTAGTGATTGGATTATCCAATTGCTGGCATCTATTGTCACAACCTTTAATTACAGTTTGAGTTTTTGATTCATTCTAAACTTCCATTTTAAAATTTATGTGGACAGTAGTATATTTTAGTGTTTATAATTCTGTTGCTCGTAGTATTTGTTTTTCTAGCTGATTGCCCTAATCTCTACTATTTTGCTTTCACCTACAGATGGACCTGCGAGATAAGCCAGCACTTGATAAGCTTTTTGCTTCCATGAAGTAAGTTTTACCGTATGTTTTAATATGTTATGTTTGGTACTTCTGCATTTTAAAGCTTTGCAAGGAAAAAACCTTAACTGATTAGTCTTCGTAGTGAGTGTAGACTAGATAGTCTCTCGGCTGTGTTTTCCCCACTTGACTTCCCTTAAACCTTTACTGTTCTTATTTTTATGCATCTGAATTATCTGCAACTTTCTATGTAGTCATCTGCATCTTTCTGATTTATTTGATTTGAGCTGTCAGGATTGAGGCATTACTTTTGCTATGTAATAAATCTCATTAATTCCTTCTACAGTTTAGATTGTGAGGTCCAACTTGTTAATATCAGGGGATATGAGTAATGCATTTACACCATAAAAAACAACAATCTTCTATGAGCAAAATGTTTGTAAACAGCAGAAAAGCGATCTTCTATACGAACTATGTTTGTTAACATGAATAGAAAGTTGATTTTGTGGCTTATATGAAGGTTAACTATATGACATCTGACCTTTTCTCTTCCTCCTAATTTTGTTTCCACTGCAGGGTTGATGCTGTCATCCATTTTGCTGGATTAAAAGCAGTTGGTGAAAGTGTGCAGAAACCCTTGGTGTATTATAATAATAACCTTATCGGCACAATCACTTTGTTGGAAGTTATGGCTGCCCATGGATGCAAAAGGGTATTTCTCGTGTGTTTTATTTTCATATTAGAGTTCACATTGCATAGGTTCTAGTCTGATTTACTAGATGTAGATATTGATCCGCAAATAAATATTCCATCTCAGAAAGTTTGTGTCATTTTATGGCTTTGGGGCTTGATTATATTGTTTAACTGCATATCTCATCTCCTTCATGTTGTCACATAATTGTCAGTTTCTAGTTTGCCTCCCTCTTTATTTGCTTAGCTAACTGGTGAATGTGATGCAGTCTAACCGGTCACAAGCATAAATCAACTAGTTATTTAGAAAGTATTTCTGCCCCAGGGGCCGTTCGTCATTCCCTTTGCTTCCACTGTAGGTAGAGAATGGACATTTTGCTCATTTCAGTGCAGTAAGTAAAACTGTTGAATTTTCTTTAAGGTGTCTGGTACTTCTCTGGCTTAAGTAGAACTATTATAGTGCTGGAATTTGGTTACATTGTATGTATTGTAGAGCAAGTCTGGTACTTCTCTGGCTGAATAAGAACAATTGCAGTGCTGGAATTTGTTCCTTCACAGCCTTTATAAGCTGAATAAACCATACCAAACTAAACCTTGTGTCCCAATCAAGTCGGGTTGGCTACATAATTCGTTTTTTCACTATTCTGCTATGTCAAATGACTATATAAGCTGAATATGTTCGTTAATTACTATATAAGCAGAATATGTTGTTAATTACTATATAAGCTAAATAAACCATACAAAACTAAACCTTGTATCCCAATATGTTGTTAATTACTATATAAGCTAAATAAACCATACAAAACTAAACCTTGTATCCCAATCAAGTTGGGTTGCTTTAGTTTATTCTTCTGCTGCTGAATTGTTTTTAAATCCGAATGATTATGGAAATAGAAAGAATGAAAATCAAAAATCAAAAAAAAAAAAACCAAAAATTTTTGGAAAAAAAAAAAAAAAAAAAAAAAAAAAAAAAAAAAAAAAAAAAAAAAAAAAAAAAGTTATGCATTGGCTCCTTAGTATTATAGAACTGAACTTTCATAAAAATTATTGGAATTTTGTCTTTTACTGTAAATGTGGTTTGTCAGCTTGTTCTATTGGGATAGTTCTGTGTGCTTCTCTGATATTTAAAATGTTAAGATATTCAGGCCTTAACATTGTTCCATCCATATATTTTCTATTTTGATTTCAATGACATGATTTTTTTTTTTTTTTTTTCCCCCGGTTGATTTAAGGCACACTGTCCATTTATTTACTTTTTCAGTTTTGATCAAATGTTCTTTGTTTCCTGGTTGAATTAATCCATTCATACTATTTTCAATTGTTCATCTTTGCATCACTGGGAAACTTCAATTTATTTAGTGTGATCATTAAAGCAACCTCATTACCTATGTGAGTAGGGATGTAATATGTTTTTATTAAACTATATGTCAAACAAAAGCCCTAATCAAAGAGAAATAGATGTAGGTGTTGATTTTTGATGTTCTGTTTCTTGTTTAGTGTATGGATACCGATCACTTGTTTCTTTGTTAAAGTCGATCAATTTATATCAATATACATAACTGGGTTTGGAAAAGTTTTTATGCCTATGCGAGATTCTTTTTTAGATGTGTTGATTCATGGTTATGTGAAGGAAACAAGCCATAAATATAAGCTTTTATTCACATAGACGTAGAAAAAAATACTTTCTTGATGGTGAAATTCTATCAATATAAAAATAGAGAGTGAAAATAGAATTAGTCTTATTAACTCTGGCATTTAGTGATTGGATTATCCAATTGCTGGCATCTATTGTCACAACCTTTAATTTACAGTTTGAGTTTTTGAATCATTCTAAACTTCCATTTTAAAATTTATGTGGACAGCAGTATATTTTAGTGTTTATAATTCTGTTGCTCGTAGTATTTGTTTTTCTAGTTGATTGCCCTAATCTCTACTATTTTGCTTTCACCTACAGATGGACCTGCGAGATAAGCCAGCACTTGATAAGCTTTTTGCTTCCATGAAGTAAGTTTTACTGTATGTTTTAATATGTTATGTTTGGTACTTCTGCACTTTAAAGCTTTGCAAGGAAAGAACCTTAACTGATTAGTCTTCGTAATGAGTGTAGACTAGATAGTCTCTCGGCTGTGTTTTCCCCACTTGACTTCCCTTAAACCTTTACTGTTCTTATTTTTATGCATCTGAATTATCTGCAACTTTCTATGTTGTCATCTGCATCTTTCTGATTTATTTGATTTGAGCTGTCAGGATTGAGGCATTACTTTTGCTATGTAATAAATCTCATTAATTCCTTCTACAGTTTAGATTGTGAGGTCCAACTTATTAATATCAGGGGATATGAGTAATGTATTTACACCATAAAAAAACAACAATCTTCTATGAGCAAAATGTTTGTAAACAGCAGAAAAGCGATCTTCTATACAAACTATGTTTGTTAACATGAATAGAAAGTTGATTTTGTGGCTTATATGAAGGTTAACTATATGACATCTGGCCTTTTCTCTTCCTCCTAATTTTGTTTCCACTGCAGGGTTGATGCTGTCATCCATTTTGCTGGATTAAAAGCAGTTGGTGAAAGTGTGCAGAAACCCTTGGTGTATTATAATAATAACCTTATCGGCACAATCACTTTGTTGGAAGTTATGGCTGCCCATGGATGCAAAAGGGTATTTTTCGTGTGTTTTATTTTCATATTAGAGTTCACATTGCATAGGTTCTAGTCTGATTTACTAGATGTAGATATTGATCCGCAAATAAATATTCCATCTCAGAAAGTTTGTTTCATTTTATGGCTTTGGGGCTTGACTATATTGTTTAACTGCATCTCTCATCTCCTTCATGTTGTCACATAATTGTCAGTTTCTAGTTTGCCTCCCTCTTTGGTGAATGTGATGCAGTCTAACCGGTCACAAGCATAAATCAACTAGTTATTTAGAAAGTATTTCTGCCCCAGGGGCCGTTCGTCATTCCCTTTGCTTCCACTGTAGGTAGAGAATGGACATTTTGCTCATTTCAGAGCAATAAGTAATACTGTTAAATTTTCTTTAAGGGTATTTGGGGACTTAAGTATATGTATTTTGGACCAGGTCTGGTACTGCTCTGGCTTAAGTAGAACTATTATAGTGCTGGAATTTGGTTACATTGTATGTATTGTAGAGCAAGTCTGGTACTTCTCTGGCTTTAATAAGAACAATTGTAGTGCTGGAATTTGTTCCTTCACAGCCTTTATAAGCTGAATAAACCATACCAAACTAAACCTTGTGTCCCAATCAAGTCGGGTTGGCTACATAATTCGTTTTTTCACTATTCTGCTATGTCAAATGAGTATATAAGCTTAATATGTTTGTTAATTACTATATAAGCATAATATGTTGTTAATTACTATATAAGCTGAATAAACCATACAAAACTAAACCTTGTATCCCAATCAAGTTGGGTTGCTTTAGTTTATTCTTCTGCTGCTGAATTGTTTCTAAATCCGAATGATTACGGAAATAGAAAGAAAGAAAATCACAAAAAAAAAAAAAAAAAGAGTTGCAGCTCCTTAGTATTATAGAATTGAAATTTCATAAAAATTATTGGAATTTTGTCTTTTACTGTAAAGGTAAACCATTTGGTTTGTCAGCTTGTTCTAGTGGGATAGTTCTGTATGTTTCCCTGATATTTAGAATGTTAAAGATATTCAGGCCTTAACATTGTTCCATCCATATATTTTCTATTTTGATTTCAATGACATGATTTTTTTTTTTTTTTTTTCCCCCGGTTGATTTAAGGCACACTGTCCATTTATTTACTTTTTCAGTTTTGATCAAATGTTCTTTGTTTCCTGGTTGAATTAATCCATTCATACTATTTTCAATTGTTCATCTCTGCATCACTGGGAAACTTCAATTTATTTAGTGTGATCATTAAAGCAACCTCATTACCTATGCGAGTAGGGATGTAATATGTTTTTATTAAACTATATGTAAAACAAAAGCCCTCCATTACCAGGTTTCTAAGTATTTCTTATTTAAGTGCAGGACTATTTTAGCACTTTAGATATGGTCATTGATTAAATAAACTAACAGGACTAAGTTCTGACTCTTTCTCTAACAAATAAGTTGTCTAATTCTATGCTGTTAATATTATTTTTCAGTCTTGAGTTTTCTTCACGTTGTGATTTAATTTTATCAGCTGATTTCAATTTGGGTGAGTTGACTAAAGTTGTTCCCATGATAAACTGCTGCATTTCAGCTTGTGTTTTCATCATCAGCTACAGTTTATGGTTGGCCAAAGGTGGTACCGTGCACAGAGGAGTTTCCCCTCTCTGCAGCAAACCCTTATGGACGAACCAAGGTATATTTTGAGCAATGATATCATGCACATGAACTGAGAGCTTGATTACCAAAGAAACTGCTAGATGATTGGATATGAAAAAATAAAGAACTTCAAGTACCTATATTATTTTAGAACTTTTAGCGTATTTTCTTTGTGCTTTACTTTGTGGTCACATGCAAAATACTTCTGCATTCCCCCCCCCTCTCTCTCTCCCTCTCTCCCTCTCTCCCTCTCCCCTTTATTATTATTATTATTATTTTTATTATTATTATTATTATTATTATTATCAAGAATCATCATTATAGGATCTACTTATTTTACTAATGTGGTTGGTACTTTCAGCTCTTCATTGAAGAAATATGCCGTGATACCCACCTCTCGGACACCAAATGGAAAATCATATTGCTGCGATACTTCAATCCTGTTGGTGCACATCCTAGTGGTTATATTGGTGAGGATCCTCATGGTATACCAAACAATCTCATGCCTTATGTGCAACAAGTTGCTGTTGGTAGGCGACCTGCACTTACTGTATTTGGAAATGACTACTCTACAAAGGATGGTACAGGGGTATATTTTCTTCATTCTCAGCATTTTTTTCCCCTTTGTTTCAACTTGGTTGTTTGCTTGTTTTAGACTCACGATTTCAAATTCCATGGGCAAGCATGCTTGACCTGTGTTTGTGATGGCTAATAGTCATCTATAACCAACTATTAGTTGTGTGGTGTAAAATGCATTGGTATTACAAATTTAGCTGGAATCCCTGTTTTCATGACTATGTTGCTTATTTGGAAGCTTTTTCTTGTTGGTTAATTTAAAAAAAAATAAAAAAATAAAAAATTGAGACTTTGTATATTTTCATGAATGATTTATATGACTTTAGCTCATAGTGAGTATCAGTCCTCTTGCACTATTGGAAATTTGGGATCTGAGTGGTTTGGGGTTGTATTCTTTCTTTAGATTTTCCACATCTAATCAAGACTGTATTTTGATGGCGCCTATTTTGTTCCAATGTTCAGGTACGTGACTACATTCATGTCCAGGATTTGGCTGATGGGCATATTGCTGCATTGAACAAGTTATCTGATCCTTCTATAGGTCTGTGCTCTGATATTGTCATCTTCCCTTTGATTCAAGTGTCTGTTTCAGTAGATGAAGTTGTTCTTTTTCCACTAGTCTATACTATAGAATAAATATTAGATGGAGCAGGCTTGTGCAAGAGCTAGTGGTGTTAGAGTAACAGTTCTAGTTATGCTGCGTTATTGAAAGTAAAAACACAATTGTTGACAGACAGGATAAGTGCATGACATAAAGTTTTTAACTTCTGTGACATATGGGAAATTGATCAACTTGTGTAGGAGACGTTTGAATATTTAGAACACATGAAAAGGAAACTGTTATGCAAATTTCTGGAGCACTATTTCAGCTACAAACAATAAGCAATGGGAATGCAGTAAAATACTTCAGAGAACACCAAATATTCTTCAACCTTTTTTTCCTCTTGAAATGTTTACTTCTCCCATCTATATGCGGTGTGTAGTCCTTTGGGAGCTTGCTATTGATCTATTGTTTGTCAATGTAAAAAGTTTGTATTTTTAAATGAATTATACACAACCAAGTCTTGACACCTTTCCCAGATCAATGTCCTCATTGGCTTTTCCTTTGTCAATATTACACCTTTCAAAATATCATTTCATATTTGGGCTCACTTATTTTTACCAAAAAGAAGGAATAAATTTTGTTATTTTTTAACAAGTCAATGTTAAATATCCATTTGACAAATCATTACCTTGGGAGTTTTATATTTTAAAACCAATATTAAATGTCAAGGACATTAAGATTCCTTCAAGTTGCATGAGCGCCATTTCTTGAACTCTTTTAGATGGAGATTTTCGCTATTATTTACTGTTCTATGGACTTGATTGAGTTATTAGACTTCAAGTGACCAGGCAGTGTAGGAATATTGAGATCAAGGCTAACTCAGGAATGGCCATTTTAATTTTTTAAAAATATATATTGGGGGCTAGGGCACCTCTGAAACTTTATCTCTGCCTCAATTATGCTTTTCTATGCATGTTGCATGCTTATGTGTGTGCACAAGTGTAATGTTGGTTGAGTCTAAAAGTTTTTTAGTATTATATGAATGTAAAAGCTGGCAAGAAAATTCTTGAATGATGTGGTTAGGTATCATTATATTTGCTTCATTATTGATGTCACTACAGGTTGTGAAGTTTACAACCTTGGAACTGGAAAAGGAACATCGGTTTTGGAAATGGTAACAGCATTCGAAAACGCATCTGGAAAGGTACTGAATTGTTGAACCTGTGTGTTAAATTTTCCCAATGTGCCAAATCTTAAAAAATGGTTTAACTTCTTATTTTGGACATAAATGTGAAGTCTGGTGAAATCTAAACCAAATAAGGCTTTGGTTCATAGACCATTTATTCCTCTGTTACATTTCGAATTCAGTGGATAACAACAGAATCATATATGATGTGTGAATGTCTTTTTAAATGTACATCAAGTGATTCCTCCCAAAGGTCACCCCGAGTCCAGAATATTGAGATCAATGCTAACTCAAGAATGGCTATTTTAATTTTTTAAAAATATATATTGGGGGCTAGGGCACCTCTGAAACTTTATCTCTGCCTCAATTATGCTTTTCTATGCATGTTGCACACTTATGTGTGTGCACAAGTGTAATGTTGGTTGAGTCTAAAAGTTTTTTAGTATTATATGAATGTAAAAGCTGGCAAGAAAATTCTTGAATGATGTGGTTAGGTATCATTATATTTGCTTCATTATTGATGTCACTGCAGGTTGTGAAGTTTACAATCTTGGAACTGGAAAAGGAACATCGGTTTTGGAAATGGTAACAGCATTCGAAAACGCATCTGGAAAGGTATTGAATTGTTGAACCTGTGTGTTAAATTTTCCCAATGTGCCAAATCTTAAAAAATGGTCTAACTTCTTATTTTGGACATAATCTATAATCTACATTCTATATTCTAGTTCTCCTTTTCATTTGATGCAAGTTTTTTCAATATATATATTTAAATTTTTCTACTGATTCATGAGTAAGCAAGTGCTTGGAGATTGAATTAGAGTTCCTCTCAATAGTTTCTTGAATTAAACTTTGCAAAGTCTTAGATTTTGGGGCTATTATTTTCATATCCCAGACTTTTAAGAGCAGATGTGAAGTCTGGTGAAATCTGAACCAAACAAGGTTTTGGTTCATCGGCCGTTTATTCCTCTGTTACATTTTCGAATTCAGTGGATAACAGCAGAATCGTATATGATGTGTGAAATGTCATTTTAAATGTACATCAAATGATTCCTCCCAAAGGTCACCCTGAGTCCAAGGTTAATGTACCACCCAGAATTGGGTCTTCATCAGGAAGAAAAAGGAAAACAAGATAAACAAAAGGTCACTCTAGGCATCATAAATGGACACTGAAAAAGGAAAACTGGCATTTTTGTTATTAAACATTGACATATTCTCGTTTATGTGGACAAGAGCCATAATTTTCTTTTCGTGCTTGTTCCAGATAATTCCCCTGACGTTTGCTGGGCGGCGACCTGGTGATGCTGAGGTTGTGTATGCATCAACAGATAAAGCAGAACATCAGTTGAATTGGAAGTAAGTGTCATCCCCCTTGAAACCACTATATTGATAATTATTCTGTAATTTGGTTTCTCATGAATTATTCAAGAAGTTTGCTTTGAGGAATTTTCATCTGGATTTGTGGTGATATTAAAAGATTCTAATATACTGCTCAAAGGAGTAAAATTTTAGAATGGCAGCCAATGGAAATAGAACTATATTTGTAATGACTGACTCAGCTAAGTTGCCCACCAGTTCCAAATATTTTTTATATTATGGGTTTTACTTATGTCAAATAGAATATAGAAATATAGAAGTTGGAGAAAAGATGAGAGCATCTGCAATGGAGTGGCTAGAAATGTGTGTTATAGGAAAAAAAATGATAAATTTGGGACCCAATTTGTGTGTTACGATTTGTTAGTTTAGTGAGTGTGTGGGGTGTTGCAATGAAGATGTTAAGGTATATGTTAAAGTGTGTGTTAAGTAAAAGTTGGGGTGTTAAAATGTATATAAATAAAGACAAAATAAATAAAAAATTGTTGAAAGCCACCCTCTCTCTCTCTCTCTTCTGCTCATTAGCTCACTCGCTGCAGTTTACACAAATGTTAACATCTAACATGGTTATTGAGGCAGCTAACAGCTCCTTTATAGTTCAAAAAAATGACCGACAGCAATTTCTGACTAACGCCTGACACTAAAATGGACTTAAGGCATCCACTACGGATGCTCTAACACTATTAGATCCTTAGTTCTTACACTCGTAAAGATAAATCCACCAGTATTGACAGGAAAAACTGTTTCATCAAAACCTCGAATGAAACTATACAAGTAATAGTTTCATATTCAGATTTGCGTATTTTCTAATGTGTTGTGCATATGCAGTGCAAAATATGGAATCGAAGAGATGTGCCGTGATCAGTGGAAGTGGGCCAGCAAGAACCCTTATGGGTATGAATCTCCAGACTCCACTGCTTGACTGAGAAAACAAAGCTTGTGGCTGTTAGTCTCAGGGAAAACTTCAGATTTAGGATTTCCCTTGTATTACTAGGGTTATAATCAAGGATGAAAAAATTGGGGTGTAGTTTTATCCTTGGTTTCAGAGGGGAAAATATGGACTTTTAACTTCACTGTAACTTGAGAGTAAGCAATTGCTGGACCTGTTGTATAGGGCTCGTATTCATGCAATTACAACTAGAATCTTTTAACAAAAATGATTTTAACTGCACCGGATGGCTGTGTCTTCCCGATGTTTTGTGATTCTCATTTTCTGGTTGTGCTGTATATATGTCATTACCTTGCCATGTGGAGAATGTTGATGTTTAGCTACTTTGTGGGGTTGATTTTCGTGTCTGTCGTTTTGTAGGCTAGGTGGTGCGTCATTTGTTTGGGATTATTCCTTTTATGTGTAGATTTAGATAGCAAGGTCATTGGTCTTATGGTATGTGTTGCTTGAAGATAAGCAATCTACTGTCATAACAACAGCTCTGGAGTTTGAAAGTCAGCTGATTCTAAATTTCAGCATAAGTTTTTGAGCTACTTTTTAAGTACTTTGCCTGTTGCTCTCAGATTTATTTTTGTCAATGCTGCCTTTGGAATTAAAAAGTAGTTCCTTTTTTATTTAATTTATTTTTTTTTTCAGAGTTACACGATACACAGAAAATAAGATTGAAAATTTGGTTAGTTTCTTATTTTCCAAAAACTATTAAAAAGAAATAGTAAATTGACTTAAATTTTTTTTGAGTTTTACGTACAATTCTGTAAAAGCAAGGGCAAAGAGGGCAAAATTAGATGGACAGTTGTGAGAGTATGAGAGTTGTGTTTGTTTAAAAAATTCGAATTTTGGACCAACCTGTTGCCAGTTGACTTTCGTGGGCTTGAGGAATCATTGTAGGCTCTCTTTTCCCTTTGGGCTCACGTCAATGGACTTGGGCCTGGCCTCTCATTTTTTTTCTCCACAATATAAATTTTACTTTCGAACTTTTTACGTTGTGTTAATTTAGTTGTGTTAATTTAGTTCAATTGATAATATAATTTAAAGATTGAATTAAAATTAAAGGGCAAATGGTTTGGACAATCAAATGAATGTCGATTAATAATTTATATTCTTCAATCAATTATTCAATATTTACTTAGTTCAATGGACAAGACAGTTGATTAAGAGTGATCTATGTAGATGTCTCTTAGGCCTCGTTTGTTTTCAGAGATAAAATGAAAGGGATTCATGGTGAGGGGATTGTTAGTGAGGGGATTGATAGTGAGAAGATTAATAGTGAGGAATTGTTAAATTATTTTTATATGAAATAATAAAACAAATAAAAAAATATAAAAAATTAAACATTATATTTAAAAAAAAATTCCCAATATATAAAAAATAAAAAAATTTCTAATCCCCTCACTATTTTTCTAATACCATCTCTACCTCCTCTTTACCAATCCCCCTTCCTCCTCCTTACTAATACCAAGGGATTACTAATCCCTTCCCTATCTCTCAAAACAAACACCTCATTCTTAATTCCTTCCTCACTACCAAACCCAATTTCCTCCCTATAACCCCAAACAAACGGACCTTACATAGTGAAAAGGGAATTTGGCTCCTCTCCTACACTCCACCATCAAGCACTGGTCCAGCTGTTGAACAGGATGAGGACGCGTGGCATAGACAAGACCAGGCAGTGAAAATGAGTCCACGTCGTGCATAACCCAGAGATTTAGAGCAACATCTTCGTTTTGATACGAACGACGTCATCTTGGCTAACGGACACTCTAAACGTCAAACAGCAGTTCATGATTCTCACAATCACACTCACTCGCTATTCTTTTCACTTCATTCCAGCAGTAGCAACAAACCCCAGATCACCAAACCCAGCGACTTAAATGCAGCAATTCTGATTCAGAGAAGACCCCACCGGCATTGTTCCTCACTGGAACCTCGATGTCCTCCATAACTCCGGAGACAACACCGTCTATACATGAGTGACCTACATCACTGACAATATTAAGAAGAGTCAATTTGTGATTATTGAAAGAAACCAAAATCATACTAGCACTCAGCTCTAATCACCTTTTTACTGTTTTGGGTATTGGTTCTTGTTCTTGTTGAACTATTAGCTATGCGTAAGGATCCTTTAGAGTTAATCCTCTAGAGTGATTTCCTAAAGTGTTTAATCCGACGGCTGAGAATAAAACTCACCAAAACAACGTCATTTTGGTGAATATTTTCAAAAAAAAAAAAAAACTTTAATTCGAAATTTCTGCAGATCTCATATGAATCAATACAGAGACACACATAGAGACAGAGAGAGAAAGAAAAGGGTTGTGTTTCAGATTTCCATCTCTTCACTCTCATCTTCTTTTTCTTCTTCTTCTTCATGGGTATTGGCGTTCTTGATCTACCGGTATCTTCATGAATCTCGATTTGGGTTGTTTATTGTTTTGGTCTGTTTATAGTTGGGTTGAAATCTATAGTTGGGTTGAAATGTTCTTTGGGTTTCTCTGTTTATTGTTCTCAGGAAGTTCATGGCCATGGATGACACCAAATCAATTTTCATGTGGGTTTCTTTGCAAATCCACCCATTTTCTTCTTCATCTCTCAAACCCATCAAAATCTCTGCAAAATCTGTCCTTGAAGCTTCTTGAAGAATAGAGATTAAAGTGAGTTTTTTGAAGAATAGAGATCAAAAAACTAGAGGACATAGAGATTTCAAAAAATTAGATCTTTGCCAAAAAAAATCAATCTCTGCAAAATGAGTTTGGGAAATGAGTTTGGAATCAATCTCTGCAAAATGGGTTTAGGAAATGAGTTTCTCAACTTCAATCTCTTCAATACCCAAAATTAGATCTTTGCCAAAAAAAATCAATCTCTGCAAAATGAGTTTGGGAAATGAGTTTGGAATCAATCTCTGCAAAATGGGTTTAGGAAATGAGTTTCTCAACTTCAATCTCTTCAATACCCAAAATTAGATCTTTGCCAAAAAAAATCAAAATCTCTGCAAAATGAGTTTGGGAAATGAGTTTGGAATCAATCTCTGCAAAATGGGTTTAGGAAATGAGTTTCTCAACTTCAATCTCTTCAATACCCAAAATTAGATCTTTGCCAAAAAAAATCAAAATCTCTGCAAAATGAGTTTGGGAAATGAGTTTGGAATCAATCTCTGCAAAATGGGTTTAGGAAATGAGTTTCTCAACTTCAATCTCTTCAATACCCAAAATTAGATCTTTGCCAAAAAAAATCAAAATCTCTGCAAAATGAGTTTGGGAAATGAGTTTGGAATCAATCTCTGCAAAATGGGTTTAGGAAATGAGTTTCTCAACTTCAATCTCTTCAATACCCAAAATTAGATCTTTGCCAAAAAAAATCAAAATCTCTGCAAAATGAGTTTGGGAAATGAGTTTGGAATCAATCTCTGCAAAATGGGTTTAGGAAATGAGTTTCTCAACTTCAATCTCTTCAATACCCAAAATTAGATCTTTGCCAAAAAAAATCAAAATCTCTGCAAAATGAGTAAAAACCCTTCAACAAATAATCAAAAATATAGTATTATTGAAGATTTTGATTGGATTCAATGAAGGATGCATCTGACAATTCTCATTCGGAACAATGGACCAATGAAAAGGTTATTTTTTTTGTTGTTTTCGTCTTCGTTTTTGTTTATGAGTGGTAAATCGTTGTTCTGTTAACCAGAGGTGAATGATATATCATTGTTCGACAAACTACAATCAAACAACTTACATCTGTTCAACAGACTACAATCGAACAACTTATATCTGTTCAACATACTACAATCGAACAAGTGCAATTTGTTCGGATTACTACGGTCGAACTTTTTCATTTAATTCAACTCTATACTACCGAATAGTTATTATTATTATTATTTTTTTTTTTTTTCCAAAACTGTGCATCCGTGGAATCCAGTAAGTGCATAAAACCCTAAAATAAATAATAACTCACCTAATAAATCTCCAACATGAAGTTCCAACTGTGTTGAGCAACACCACCGACGACGTCTTGATAAGTGTTTTCAACAATGGTGTTCACCGGTGTGAATAGAGAATGGAGGGGGAGATGAATATCGTGGGTGTGGAGTGTGTGGCTGTGTGGGGGCAAAGATGAAACTTTGTGTGTATATTGTTGTGGGTGGGTGTGTGAGTAAGGGTAAATATATAAATTTGTGATGTGTGATGAGAAAAATATTTATTTTTGCAAATTATTTTTGGTGTGTCTTTAGAAGTGGTTTGCCTTGAAAGAGAAAGTGGTGTGTAAATAGAGCCTCCCCAAAATTAGATGCACAGGTGAGAGAGTATGAGAGTTGTGTTTGTTTAGAAATGTCTTGATAAATATGACAGAAGGATCTGAAATAATACTCTCTTCCAAGAAAATTTCACTTTCCTGTAACCAATCATTGCAAAAGGGAAATTTTGATAATTTCTCCCTATTATGAGGTTCTTTGCTGTCCTTGTTGTTGGGCTTTTTGTTGCATTTATTAGCTACTGTCCTATTATGTGACTCTTTGGTAGGTTTGTTGTGAGCTTCTTAAAAAAAAATAAAAATAAAATTCAGACCGATAAAATAATAAGCATATAAATTATTTATACATAAAGCCAGTCTATAACTTGGATTAATTACAGACCGTTCTATCTTAGATACAGGTAAAAACGAAAAATAACTACATATTAACTTAATATCTGCCAAAATGGTGACCATTGCCCAGTCCAGCAGAGTGAACTCCCATAGCATATTCACGAAAACCTAACTATCAGTGAATATAGACAGGCAGGGTGATTTCTTTCTTAGCCCACTAAATAGTTTCAAAATACTCTCGCTTTCGCCACAAGAGGAGTGTTCAGATATACTTGGATGTCTTCGTTAGTCATTTTAGTTTTAATTTTATCTGTGGAAGGTGAAATTATCTCTACAAGAAAAGTGAGATGATGTGTCTTGCCCTTTTACTCTGTCAAGAGAAACCAAATGCTAGTGATCACCTTTGACCGGGTTTGGTTAGGAAGACCCTCCCATAATCAAGTCAATGTACCAATTGGCCATAATAAAATATATAATTTGTATTTAAAATAGGGTTCTTGAGTTACCTTTTGCCTGACCCTAGTGCTTTATCTGCTGACCCTTTTATATTTGATTGGCTTAAATCTTGTTCATTTGTTTATCCTTTGATGAGAGGGTTTTGCCTTTGTCTGGCAATGTCTAGTCCAGTTGCCAAGTTGCTTACTTCCTTGATTTTTAGATCCTTATTGT